GCATACATTATTTCCTAGTTCTGCTGATAGGGTCTGGAAGCAATGATACTCTAGTAGCAGTGAGCACACCTAGCACCCAGATCTTGGTTTCTAAATCTCATTCTTCACTAAAAGAAATCAGGGGTCGTTGGAGAAATTACTAATTCCAAGACTGGGGCAGGGAAAATACAAGATGAACCTACAACCTTGTCTTGCACCAGAAAGGAAGAAAGTGCTCAAAGAATGGTGGGTGCATGTCGAAAGAACACAGGAGCTAGCCTAAAGGAGTTGCCAGGTCTCAGAAACTTTCAGCATGAAATAATGATAGTAATGGGTTGTAATCCTTGAGCAAACTAGTAATCCACAAGCTCATACTGATATCAATGAATAAATAAGTAAATGGGGAAGAAGAGAATACTCTGTTCTACAGGAGAATGCCAACCAGTAAATCTAGAGGGAATGATGGCATTAGAAAAATCACCAATTTGCAACCATTATAGTAATAATCATTTAGCTAAGAATCATCAAAGGATGCTAAATGTGGTGGGTGAAAATTTGATGGCAAATAGAAATATTTACATTGTCTTGAAGAATCTCCCTACAACATAGTTGTTATTATTAATGAGTATAACATACTTATTTACTTAATGCTGAAGAAACCTGGCAGAAACTATCTTTTTTTCCTGCTTTTTCTCCCTAAATCTCCCCAGTACATAGTTGTATATTTTAGTTGTGGGTCCTTCTAGTTGTGGCATGTGGGATGCCGCCTCAACGTGACCTGATGAGCGGTGCCATGTCTGCGCCCAGGATCCACCGGTGAAACCCTGGGCCACTGAAGCGGAGCGCATGAACTTAACCACTCGGCCATGGGGCCGGCCCCATGCAGAAACTATCTTAACCAAGTGATTAAAATTAGTATCACCATTAATAAGACAAATCAACAATGTGTCTTTCTTGGTATGCACCAAGAAGAGCACAACATCACTTTTGTGGTATATTCCTGCCAAATATGCATAAATCATGAGGAAATAGAGAAACACAAGTTGAGGCACTAGTCTAGACAGTAATTGGTCAACAATCTTCAAAAATGTCAGGGTCGTGAAAGACAGGGAAGCACTGTAGGACTGTTTCACTTAAGGATTCACTGTGACTCGCGATCCTGGTTTGGATTCTAGTCCATTAACGGGAATTATTGGAACAATTGGCACAACTTGAATGGAGTTTGTGGATTGCATGGTAGTAATGTGTCGGTATTAATTTCCTGATTTTGCTGTGGTTTTGTCAGAGCCTGCCCCTCTACTTAGGAAATAAACGCTGAAGTATAGATTGGTCCTGGGGCATCGTGTCTGCAACTTATTCTCAAACTGCAGGATTTGGGCAGAGAAGTGTGAACAGAGAGTCTTGATGAAAGCTATGTAATAGCTATACGTACTATTTTTGTAATTTTTATATAAATTTGAGATTATTTCACAATAAAAACTCTGTAAAAAGGGCGTAATTCACAGTGTCAGGTACTATAGGCACGTCAAGGAGGGTGAAGACTGGGAGTAAAAGGCTATTGGATTCATCAATCAATCAGGCATAAAGACAAAAGTGTTGAAATGAAATGGGGGGAAATCAGGGATTCCTGTTTTTAGGATCTGGGGCATGAAACTTTCCTTACAACTCAAACTCCTGAAAGGCTTTTCTCCTCTAAATTCCTACCGTACTTATTGTAACAGCACAGACTCTAAGTCTCAGATATTATCCTACATTATTCTCTTTCAAGTACTTTGTGTACATCCCTAAACAGATTTTAAGTTCCTCCCAGGCAATGTTTGTGTCTTTATACAGCTGTGTGTCTAACCCAAGACCAAGCACAGGGCTAGGCCAACTCCAGATGCTCCATCAATACGTATTAAATTGGGCTGATACCTATGAGCTCCCCATACACATGTCTAGGGGGAGACAATCCCCTTTCTTCCCTTCTTGTGTTCTTATGGCTGGACTAATAATAAAATTGACACCAGACCCAAACAGGAGGAAAACCTAGTTTGATACGTACGTATTGGAGATGATGGAGAGAGACGATGCTCGGAGAGTGAACAAAGCAGACCATATATATATCTTTTATGCAAAGAAACAGTAAATTTGTGAGGAATGACAGGACAAAGAACTTTAGATTAGAGATATGTGATTAGTAAGGAATTTAAGCAGAGTTTAGGCTTCAGGAAGTAAATTAGTAAGGTTTGTTTATGCAAGCTTCCAGGCCCTGAATTCCTAGCTCTGCTGATAAGGATGAAAGGAGAGTACCTTTCACGTGGGAGATTTATTTCATGCTTTCAGGGGGAACGGAGATAGAAGGGTCAGAACGCCATTTTTGCTCCTCAAGTAACTTTAATTCAAAATAATCAATATACTGGGGCTGGCCCCGTGGCCAAGTGGTTAAGTTCGCGTGCTCCACTTCGGCAGCCCAGAGTTTGCCAGTTCGGATCCTGGGCATGGACCTATGCACCACTCATCAAGCCATGCTGTGGCAGCATCCCACATAGAGGAACTAGAATGACCTACAACTAGGAGATACAACTAGGTACTGGGGCTTTGGGGAGGAAAAAAAAAAAAAGAGGAAGGTTGGCAACAGATGTTAACTCAGGGCCAATCTTTCAAGAAAAGAAAAAAATCTATATACTGTTGTGGGATATTTGGGGGCAGCCTGCCCTGGGCCCCCATACCAGCATGTAACTAGGTTGTCTCCACCTCAATCTTAGACCTCCCTACTTACAAGGGCAAGTCTATGGGCCGCTATGAGCCCTGCACAAGAAAAGAAATTTAAAAACTTATTAAAGGCCACACCAGTCACCCCTCAAGAAAGGAAGAGCTTTCTCTATGTTTGGGATACATTTTTACAATACTAAGAGCAACAAAAGAAGCACAAATTCAGGTTAGAGTTAACGATTTGGAAGATACCATGTTGCAAAACCTCTTAAAAACATCCTACCTGGCAGCCAGAACTTGTGTGGACAGGAACATGTAGTCTGTGATTCTTCCTGGGGCAGCCAAAAACAAAAAAAAATCCTTATCTTATCAAAGGGAGAGCCCTGTGGCCAACCACTGGCAAGCTGAGAAGCAGCCCGCTCATTTACACAACTCAAGGCCTCCCCGGTAGGTGATGTTCTCCAACATCAAGGAAACACAAACCCTCCATAGTTTGCAAACAGGTCTTTCCACAAACCTCTACCCAACTTAGGCTCCTGAAACTATAAGGTTTTTTTTTCAGTTTTAGCCTGTTAGATGAGACTCCAAATAAATAAAAGAGGATATTGTGTCCAGGGAACAGTCTTACTGACTGCAGAATCCTCCATGAGACTGGGCCCTGGTGGCCCAGTAGTTAAGTTCAGCGCACTCTGCTTTGGTGGCCTGGGTTCGGTTCCTGGTGGAACCTGAGGTTCGGAACCATACCACTCCTGTTAGTGGCCCTGCTGTGGTGGCACCTAACATACAAAAAGAAGAAGATTGGCAGTGGATGTCAGCTCAGGGTCAATCTTCCTCAGGAAAAAAAAAAAGTGAGAAATCTTGAGTCCAGAATAAATGATCAAGTCATTACAATCTCTTTATTTACTTGAATGAGAAAGTTAACGTTTCTATACAACTTAAGAGAGAGAATGCATTTTATGGAATTTGTGTTTTATTTTTAACTATTTAGTAAGGGGTCCCAACGATATGCAAACAGTAGTTTTACTAATGTGAAAGATAAATAATTGAATACATTTTGCAAGTATAATGTTTGTCCTCTGCCTCACTGAAAGTGATGCAAATTCTAGTTTCCCAAGTGCCACAATGGGCAGCTGGGAATAGCCTCTGTCCACTGCCAATATGCAGCCTCATAAAATTTCATGATGAGATGAGTTCTTCCGAGTTCAGAAAGAGGGTGAAGAAAACTGAAATCACAGTGCATTAGGCTTGACCGTCTCCGGGTATGTGTGCATGTTGGGAGGCTAATAAAGTGGTCGGTCAGTCCCTAATTCAGTTTGGCTTTTTTTTTAATGCTACACTCTAGTGCCTGAAAACTTTTACTCCTAAGGAGCAAGGACTATGTAACTTAGGAAGTGCCCTAGGCCAAAATGTCATTTTGCATACAAAGGAGTGCTGAGTTTGCTGTCAGCCAAGCCTTCTGCCCCGCTGGAGCCTGTGCTGGAGTGAATTCACGTCTGTCAGTTGGGAAGTCTTCAGAATGTTAAGACTGTCAGTTGCAACCTGGAGAGAAGTAGGAGAGGTTGCGTCTTAGAAGTAGGCAGCCCAGAGCTGGAGTTTGTTGGAAGAGGCAAAGGTGCAGAAGGATGCGTTGTGTTAGACTCTCAGCTCCACCATTTGTAAGGCCATATTTCTCCCCTCTTTGAGCCTTGGTCTTTTCACCTGTAAAATATAGATATTTGTGCCTTCTCAGCACATTCTACAGGCTCTAGTGGCCTTCCAGTACATAATGGAGGTAAAAGTTCTTTTTAAACTGCAAGTCACTGTATAAATGTGAAGTATTGTCAGATCGAATCTATGAGAGAGGTCATTTGAGCTAAACCTTGAAAGAAGCTTGCCATACTGGAAGGGAAATTTCAGGCTGAGGCACCACGTATAATCGATGTTGCAGAGGTACAAACATGCCTACCGTGTTGGGACAGTAGGACATCCAGTGTGGCTAAGACCTGGCCGGGATGCCTATGCTAAAGGGACCAAAAGGAGCCTAAGAAAGGGTGCTGGGGAGAACTTGTCAATAAAAAGCCCCGGGTGCCTTCTTAGAGACTGTGGGTGTTGTCTTGAGATGGGAAGTAATCAGAGGCTTTTTAATGGGGGGTGGCAGTAGAGGTGGGCAACACAGTTAAGCTTGTATAATGGAAAGGATGGCTGTAATATGTAGGATAGATTGTGGGGGCAGAATAGAAACCAGGGAAGTCTGAGACCAGGGAGATAGGAGAGGGTATTTTTCAACCTAAACCTGAGGTTGCGTCATCAATCTTACTTGGCAATCTGTCACCTTTGTTTCTGTGGGACCAAATATGCCTGCCTCATTTGTGAGAACGTGGCCAAGCCAATGAGAAAGAAGGTGCAGATCTGAAACCTCCTGGAGTTGGACAAGCCAGAAATAGGGTGATAAGTACTACAGACCCTCATACAAGCTGTTCAGATGCCTCTCCTTCCTCTATGGCTACATGGGGTAAGGTTTCCTTTGTAAAAGTTATCATAAATTCCAACGATATCATTGGGAAGTGCACTCTAAATCTGGAAAACAGTTTGGAGTCCTCCCAAGAAACTCACTTAAAACAGGGTGGGTAACTCTTTAAATGCTACTTTTGCCTATTTGGTCTCTCTCCTAACATTTTAAAATTTGGACTCTGGGGCATAGGAAAGAAAAATAACGTGAGCCAAGCAGCTGAGCCAGATGCCCAAACTGAAACCTAAGTTGCCCTCCTTTCAGGGGCTTCAGGATCCCAGCAAGTCATGCTGTGAGCTCCTCCCCAGAATGTTTTAATGTTTGTGTGATATTTCTGTTAATGTTGAAATGTTGAAAATGGATACTACAGCCTCGAAAGAGAGCACTGGGGGCCCAGCACCACAACTGAGTGGTTAAAGTTCCACATGCTCAGCTTCGGTGGCCTGGGTTTGTGGGTTCAGATCCAGGTGCAGACCTACTCCGCTCAATAGCCATGCTGTGGAGGTGTCCCACATACAAAATGGAGGAAGATTGGCACAGATGTCAGCTCAGGGCAGGTCTTCCTCAGCAAAAAAAAAAAAAGAGAAAATAGTGGGCTTAACCAGTTAAAGCTAATAGTAATGTGGAGACCAGCTTTGCCACCCTATGTGGATCTCAGGTCATGTCCCCCACCCATTCCTTTTCAGTTTGATATCAAAAGTATGAAGGCTTCATGGTTTTTTGTTTTGTTTTGTTTTGCTTTGTTTTGTTTTTGCTGAGGAAGATTCTCCCTGATCTAACATCTTTACCAATCTTCCTCAATTTTGTGTATGGGTCGCCACCACAGCATGGCCACCGACAAATGGCGTAGGTCCACACCCGGGAACTGAACCCAGGCCACTGAAGCGGAGCATGCCAAACTTAACCACTAGGCCAGGGGTCCGGCCCTATCATGTTTTTTTGTTAACAATACAAGGCAGAAAGTTTTATTATGTACATAACTTATTAACAGACTAATTTGTTAAACCCCTAGCAGAAACAATATTAACGTTCTGCTAAACGATTTCTGTTTATGAAGGAAGAAGAACTTCAGCCCCAGAAGAGTGGTCAGCCCTTGTGAGCACGGGCTGGGGGTGACTCTGAACTGACTCTGCATCCGCTAACTCTGTGCCTCCTGCTTTTCCTCTTCAGCTGCCTGGAGTGTGTTCCAGCTCTCCACAATACCCACAGGAATGCCACTGGCTCTGGAAGAGGAAAGGGATTGATGGTGGTAACTGAATCCATTTTGATGGTGACCTACGCCAGGCTGATGTCATTCATTGGAAACTGCAGCAAACTTGGCTATTCTTTTACCAATGGGGTATTGGTTTTTTGAGACTGTCTTTGGTGTATAAGTACCTCATCCAAAAAAAATATGTCATTATTGAAGATTCCATTTCAGTCCACTATATTTTTGGACATTTTCACCAAAAAAATTAATTACTCCTAAATAGCATTACATGATTTTGAATATTTAGTGTCTGAGGAACTCTGAAAGCTTTATTGGACTGATAGATATGCCTTTCAGACCTCATATCAGAATGATCGAATTTCCTTAAAACTGAAAAGTAAATACTGCTGAGTCCATTGAACAATGTAATCAAGTGAGGACTGATATGGCTTCATGTATATTTAACCCCAGGTGGCAGTATCCTCTCCTCCTACTATCCTTTTCCCTCTTGGTCACGAGCCTTGGCTCAGAATGACCTTTAGCTCTTCCTCAAGACTCCTCTCAAGGGGCCAGGATCCACCTTGGATCTGAGGGTTATACCTAAGTAGAGGAGTTCCAAAAATATTTCACAATGGTGGCATTAATCAAATCAATATATACCTTCTCCGGTGACTAATTCTTTTTACCTCTTTTTATACTGGAACGGTCTGTTTAAAGATTAGCGGCCACACCTCTCTACACTGACACTTTCCGCAGAAATAGAATCCGTTGGTGTACGATACATTTCCTCTTTTATGGTTGCGCAATGACTTCAAACAGCTAGGAGTGATTGTAAATGCATTGACCAAGATGAAATGCCTTACTTCCTTTCTCTGATGGTTTATTGCCCCTCACAGAGTTAGGCATTCTTTTAGCAGTTTGACTCTATTTCTGATACATTTGTCAAATTATAATTGCTTATGTACCCCCACTAGACCTTGAGGCTGGACTTAGCATGTTTTTTCCTATTATGCATCTGTTACACAGTCCTGCCCTGGTGCCTGGCGTATGGTGGATACTCGATGTTTTTAAACTGAGTGAATTTGTCTTGAGTGTTCCTTGATTTTTGCAGCAGACAGATACTGGCAGCAGGTGATCAAAACCAATTAAGCTTCTATCTGTACTAGATTAAGCATTTCATCAATTTCCTAGAAAAATATGTGTAAAATACTTGATAAATGACAATGTTCATGTAATTGATATTTAAAGAGGAAAGATGGGGGTGCTGGAGATAGGGAGACCACTTGGGGAAGATTTCTGAGTTAGGAGTGTTGTGAGTTATTTTTTTTTTCATTCTCTTACAATCTTAACAGTTTTTCTTACATTCTTTCCTTTTGAGCTGTGACATAACCTGATTATTAGAGTTGTTTTTTTGCCCCTCCCTAGTTGCTATAGCTAGTGAATCATAGAAACCAGAGAAGGGAAAGACGGGTGAAATCATCTGGTTCATCTCCAAATTAGGGAGTGGAGCATTGGGATTTGGAGAAGACTAACCTCTTGTTTGAAAAAAGAAAAGAAAAAAAAACTTCAACTAGAGCTGATGAGAGCAGCTCTCCCGTCTGTTCACCTTTTGCTTCTCCCACAATCCTGAGATCCATCCTCTTAGAAGGCAATCAGGGATTCTTATCAAGGGCCCCAGGAGCACCAGATGCCAAAGTATTAAGGAGTTGAACAAAAATTCTACTGCCTGAATAATAAAGTTGGATTATGAATCCTTCAGTGATTGTTTTAATGGAGTCTTACAGAATTTGAAACTCTGTTTCAGCAAGGCCTTACGAATTTAAGAGCTGGCAAAGAACTTACAGAGGATCTGGGCTAAAATGTCCAGCTCCCAGCTGCAGAAACTAACAAGGGGTTGTTAAGAAATTATAGCAATGCCTAAGTCAAGAGTACAGACCTCTCAGTGCGTGTCTCTCTGTGTCACAGTCGCACAGTGTCCTCCCTCACAATGCTCCCCTCCACTGTTGTCTTCTTCCTCTTCCCCTCTTCTTCCTTCTTGTTCTTGTTCTCTTTTGCAGTGTTGTTTGAAGAAACGGCAGAGATGACTTAGCATCAGTGTCTGCTCTACGTGTCAGCCAAGCCTCATCCACTTGTCCTTGGGCCACAGAGGCAAGTGGATGCCACTTCAGCCACATCTGCAACCTGTCTACCACAGTCCTTGCTTCCCTCCTACTTGCCTCTGTGTCGTTCCAGCTGCAGAACCTCGACTTCATCTCCTATTCAGACTCTGCTCTTGACCTTTGAATTTTTTCACGAATCACAGTGTCCTTGGCTCCTCCCTTGGTACCTCGCTTAGTTCTCCCCCAACTTCTGATGTCTTCCTATGGTATCCCTGCACCAGCTCTGACCTCCTACATTACAAAACCTTCCCCATACTGCTTGCCCTTTGCCAATGGCCCCTTACAGAGTGGGGAGGAATATTTGTACCCTATCAATAGTCATAGCATCTGCATACGTGTGTCCCCAGTGTAAATCCCCATATCTAGTTACCCAAGTATGTTATCACAGGCTCACATTATGGAAATCTAAATTCTTTTGTGATATTAGAGATATTCAACAGTTGCCTGTTATTTTTATTTTGATAATATTCTACATGGCCTCATCTCACTTTAAAGTGATCTTTCTCAATCGCAGCTATACATTTGAATAACTTAGGAACCAAAAACATGCTGGGATCCCATGATTCAAAGAGTCTGAATTAAAGCCACAATTTTGTATGGGTATATTCAATTACACAAGGGATACTCTTTCCAATTTGGACAAAAATGGAATGCAGAGAAAGAAAGTCAATCGTATTTGATAAAAACGATTTATTGATCTAATAGTCAGAGAGAGAAAGTTGTTATTCAAAGTACTTCCATTTAGGAATCCTATTGGGCCTGTTTTAATGAATAGATAAAACTAGTTTATGTTTAGTAACATCCATGTGCATATATATAATTAATGTGCCTAAATCTATGAAGTTTTCATATTAAGGATTGAGCTTTAGAGCTAAAAGAGAACTTGAAGATTTTCTCATTTTGCACATAAGAATCAGAATCAGAGAGCCTAAGGGATTTGTCCAAGTACACCCAATTAGGATAGGAGTTAGGACCAGCCCCTCTGCCTCCTGACATCTGTGATGATTGGCACAGGACCCAGAAATACAGTGCAATCCAACAAAGTCAGGGCTGTAAAGATGCAGAGGCTGTGATGGGTTCACACTGGGCAAGGTGCTGGAGTTGCAAAGATGAACAGGAGCTCCCAGCCTGATGGGGAAGCCTGAGACATCGACAGTCCTCGTACCATGAGATAAAGATACAGGGTTAATGAATAAAGAGGTCTACTCTACCCTTCCCATAAACCACATGCCACAAGTTATCTTATTTATTATATTAATTTGCTTAGCAAACCCTTTTTTTTCATACGCTGTATGAAATATGTAACCTTTGGCCCTGCCTACGTTGTATTATCATAGATTCTGATTAGAGGAATCAAAATCAAACGAGATTTTACAATATTGGGTGTTTTCTTTGTCAGCAGAGGGTGCTACGCTATCCAGCTTTTCCTCTATAGGTTTTTAAAATTGTCTTTTCTTTAATAAACTATATGAAAAATACCATCAGGAAGATAAAAGTTTTCCCCAAAGCCTGGCACAGGCTGTCATAATCTTAATGTGTAAGAAGGAAGCCCTTTTTTCACTAGCTGTGTATCTTTTTGCTTTTTTCAACTATTTTTAAAATTATAGAAGTAATATGTGTTCACTGTTAAGAAAATCAACTAATATAAAAATTGCATATAATAAAATGGGAACATTCTCCTTTACACATATACATCAATCTTTGTCTTTCCCCATAGGTAACTAATATCAGTTTGGGGTATATCCTTACATATGTGTGTCAAATATATGCACACACCCACACACATATGTAAATGTGCATACATGTAAATATTAACATAAGTAGAATCAAATTAGTCATATTATTCTAATTGACTTTTTTTCGCTCAGACAACATAAGGTCTTCAAAGTTTAAAAAATATTCGAAACACTCAAAATGTATGTAGTGGACAATTAATAAAGATGAAAACTTTCAAAGTGCAGTTATCTCTTTTGTGTGTGTTTTCACATGAAAAATACTGTCCTATTTTGAGCATACTCTAATGCTAAGAGATATATATTTTATTACAGAATTAGGATTTTTCCACTGATAGCAGATACTTAGCACCTAAGTATTTGTATATATTTTGTGCCAAATTATGTGGAAAATGCTGCTTGAAGAAACAATAGAGGCTGATAGGATTTGAAATATTCATCCTCTGACTTGCCAAAATGTAAAAATGCAGTAAAATGTGCTGAGGTAGGAACTAAGATGCTTATAGCTCAGGAAGCATCCCAATGTCCCAGGGAGTTAACATAAGAAGGCTCATGATGGGGTGGACACTTGTTGCCAAAACATTTTCCATCATGCTGTACATATCAATATTGTAACAGAATGCCAGCAAGACACAATTTTACGCTCACGTTCTGCTTGTTCTTCTACTGAACACTATATTTTGGAAATCCGTTCATGTCAGAACATATTGATCTACTCCATTCTTTTCAGCAGCTTCATTCCATAGTACAGAAATTCCATAATTAATTTAATTTAGCTCATTGATGAGCACTTAAAGTGTTTCCACCTTAAAATGCTGCAATAAATGTCCTCATACACCTATGGCTGTGGTCATGTATCACTCTCTCTTTGGAAGAGCTTTCTAGAAGCAAACTCTGAATCAAATGGCAATGACACTTTATTGATAGATACTGCTAAATTGCCTTCCCACCAATAACATGAGAATTCCCATTGCACCTATTTCCAACTACACTGGATACTGTCAGCCTTTTAATTTTTGCCAGGTGAGTTATAGTGTGAATAAGGGAGGGGCCGGCTCCGTGGCCAAGTGGTTAAATTCGCACGCTCCGCTGCTGCGGCTCAGCGTTCAGATCCTGGGTGCGGACATGGCACCGCTTGTCAGGCCACGTTGAGGCGGCGTCCCACATCCCACAACTGAAAGGACCTGCAACTAAGATATACAACTATGTATGGGGGGGTTGGGAAGATAAAGCAGCAAAAAAAAAAAAAAAAGATTGGCAACAGTTGTTAGCTCAGGTGCCAATCTTTAAAAAAAAAAAAAAGTATGAATAAGGGCAAGGTAATGCGTTTCTGGAGAGAAATCCAGTAGTTGCCTGTACTGGGTAAGACAACGTCAGCACAACAGGCAACAACTCAATGCCTGGCTTCCAAGGAGCTCCTGCCTAGTTGCAGAGACCAACAAACACAAAAATAACACAACTTGACAACTGAGAGAGGAGCGGTATATAAAAGAAAAGCTAAGAGAAACAGATTAGAACCAAATCTGCCTGAAGGGCTTGAGAAAGGTTTTCCCTCACGAGAAAATGATATTTGCTCTGAGGCTTGAAGGAGGAGGTGGGGTTCAGCATGAGGAAAGTGGGAAAGTGCAAAAAGAAAGGCACACAGGTGCTGGGAGTGGCGCATGGTGGGAGTGAAGGGGAAGATGTGGGAGATGAGGCTGTCAGGGCGGGTCAGACCCTGCTAAGAAGGGTTTCCAGGGAGGGTCATGTAATCAGAACTATTTCCTAGAAAGATCATTCTGGATGCCTTGTAGAAAACGAATTGAGGGGCTGGCCCCGTGGCCAAGTGCTTAAGTTCGCGTGCTCCCCTTTGGCAGCCCAGGGTTTTGCCAATTCGGATCCTGGGCACGGACATGGCACCGCTCATCAGACCATGCTGAGGTGGCATCCCACATAGCACAGCCAGAAGGACCTACAACTAGAATACACAACTATGTACTGGGGGGCTTTGGGGAGAAGAAGAAGAAGAAAAAAAAAAAAAAGATTGGCAACAGATGTTAGCTCAGGTGCCAACCAGCTGGGAAAGAGGTTGGAGTCACTACAGATGTTTCCCTGGAAACATTTCAAAACAAAATAGAAATTGTGGTTTGTTCACATGAAGAGTCTTCTGTGTGGTTTGGTCATGATACCTGAATTTAACAAGGGTTTATTGAGGTCTTACTATGAGTACAGCAGGACTAGACACCAAGAACACTCAAAAAGCCAATCAATTAGTCACTGTTTTTTCAGCACCTACAATATACCAGGTGCTTTTCGTACATGCTCTAATCTTTACAATAGTCCTGTGACATCACAAATGAGAAAACTGAGGTTTTCAAACGTTTCACCTGGCCAGGAAGAAGCAGAAACAGAAGGAGAACCTGGAACTGGTTCACTCCAAAGCCCCATGCCTGTTCACTCACTCACTCACTCTCTCTGATTCTCCTCCTCCCTTCTCCCTCCTTCCTCCCTCCTTCCTCCCTCCCTTCCTTCCTCCCTTTCTCTCTAATTTTATCACAACTTATACATGTGAATAGTTCTAAAAGCCTACACAAGAACTCTATATAATTCTATATAAGCTCAGATTAAGTTAGTTTGTTAGTAACAGAGACTGGAAATAAGTAATTTACAAAGGGTAGAAATTTATTTTTTTCTTTCACGTAAAAGAAATCTGGAGGAGAGCAGTCCAGGGCTGAATGGATGGTTTCACATGCACCAGGGAAACAGTCCCCTCATAACTTGTTGCTCCGAGCTTTGTTTTCATCCTTGATTTTTTTATTTTCCATCCTTGTGCCTAGTTTCCATCTTCCAGTTTTCCTCATGGTCCATGGTAACTGAGGGAGCTCCGCTATCACATCAAGTATTAGGCAAAGGAAGAGTGAGGGAAAAAAGTGTTTCAAGGCAAAAACAAAAACAGAAACAAAAAACCCATGTCAACTGTGTGTTTTGTCTTTAAAGAGCTTTTCTTGAAATCCTACCTAACTTTGCCTTGGTTTCTTCTCAGCCAGAACGTGGTTAAATGGCCACACCTAATTCCAAAAGAAGCTGAAAAATGTAATCTTTTAGCTGAATATATTGCTGTCCACTCAAAAAAAATTGGATTTTGTTGTTGAGAGAAGAGCAGAATGTATATTGAGTAGGGAATTTGTACTTTCTATCATAGCTTACACACACACACACACACTCCTGGAGAGCTGTTACCTTGATCCACAAAACCCACAATTTCTGCTTCCAAGCCAAACATTTTCAACACCTGTAGCTATTTCTTGTGGAGATTGCACCAATATATTTCTAAACAAGATACTAATCTTCCTTAATTTTTCAGTTTTGAATATTATCTATTGCCTACGATGAAAAACGAGGCCTTTTGCTCCTCACATACAGACACACACATAGTCTCAAAATGGCTACATGACTTTCTCTAAATATTATTTATAGAATTATGACTATAGAAACACAACCTGAGCCATATAATGTACTGTGTTTACATTGCCCTCTCATGACAACTGTTTCGGTTACATATTGCTGCAGAACTAACCACTCCCAAATTTGGTTTCTTAAAACAACAAGAAGAATTTATTTTGCTCACTAGTCTGCAGGTTGGGCAGAGCTCAGTGGAGAAGGCTCGTCTGTGCTCCACACAGCCTCAGCTGTGGTGGCTCAAGGAGAGGCTAGACAATCCATTTTCAAGATGGCTCACGTAGCTCGCAAGTTGGTCCTGGCTGTCAGCTAAGGACCCTGGTTCCTCTCCACATGAACCCCTCCACAGGCTGCTGCTTGGACTTCCTCATGGCATGGTGGCTGGATTCCAAGGTAAATGTCCCAAGTAAACAAGGTAGAAATGCATTCATGATCCAGCCTCAGAAGTCACATAACATGACTTCTGTTGGTCAATAATTCACAACGGGTCATGAGATTCAAGGGGATCGAGCATACACTCCTCCTCTTGATGGGGAAGAGCAGGGTCCTAGAAGAGCATATGGGATGAAAAATATGGTGGTCAAATTTGGAGAATATCATACATTGTGTCTTTGTCTGTTCAGGCAGCTACAACAAACTACCATAGATTGCATGGCTTACAAACAACAGAAATTTATTTCTCGCAGTTATGGAGACTGGAAAGTCCAAGATCAAGCTCTGGTGAGAACCCCCTTCCTACTTGATAGACTGCCATCTTCTCCCTATAACTTCACACGGAGGAATGGTGAGGGAGCCCTCTGGGACCTCTTTTATAAGGGCATTCATCCCACAGGAGGGCCTTGTTCTCCGGACCTAATCACCTCCCAAAGACCCCATCTCCAAACACCCTCACATGGACCATTAGGTCTCCATATATGAATTTGGGGGGATACCAACATTCAATTTACAGCATGCGGCGATAATTTTTTGTTTTCCTGGAGCTTTTCATTTGACAATTTTCCTCGTCACTCTCACTAGTGCATTTTCAAACCATCCAATGAAGCTGTTAATTTCTTCTCAGTGCCTTCAAACTCTTTGGGTAGTTGCTTCCTCCCACTCTTTTTGAGGCGTCCTTGCTAGACCCTCAGTCCTCTTCTCTCACCTAGAATGGTTGCTCTGCACAGCTGTTGTTCCAAGTTCTCTCTTCCTCATCATTCTGGGAATTCAGTTCATTTATTTTTGCATTGAATCCTCTGTTTTCCGGATCCAATGCTTCCTATTTTTGCTTTATTCTCTTGTCCTGGTTGAGCACATTATTCATAAGCCTCCTGAGAAAGGGTGTGTAGTGGGATGAATGGTGGCCCCCAAAACACATGTCTACATCCTAAGCCTCAGAATCTGAGTATTTCGTTATCTGGAAAAAGGGTCTTTGCAGATGTGATTAAGTTATAGATCTCAAGATGAGATCATCCTCAATTATCCATGTTGGTCCTAAATCCAGTGACAAGTGTTCTTATAAGAGACGGAAGAGGGGAAGACACAGAAACAGAGAAGGCCATGTGAAGATGGAAGCAGAGACTGGAGTAATGCAACCACAGGGAATATTGACAGCCACCAGAAGCTGGGAGAGAAAAGGAAGGATGTCCTTTAGAGCTTCCAAAGGGAGTGTGGCCCTGCCGATACCTTGATTTTAGACTTGTGGCTTCTAGAACTGTAACACATTTCTGTTAAGTCACCAGGTTTATGGTAATTTGCTATGGCAGCCCGGGAAAACTAACACATAGGGCATAAACAGCATTTTTGAAAAATGTTTATTATGCATGCATTCTTGATTTATAGTTTGGCTGCTGTAGAATTCCTGTTGCAAAATAATGATCTTTTATATTTATTTTTCCTGACACATTTATAATATTGGCATTCTTCTGTGAATAAGAGGTTTCCCTATCCCACCTCTTTTTGGATATTTTTTAACTATCGGTTTAGACTATTCAGTGTGATATAATCAATTCCTATCATTACTCAATGTGATGTTCAAATTGTCCCAAATTTTAACCAGTAAGAGACCCTTTAAATTGGCTTTTATGTCTTTTTGATATGTTTCCATCAGTCATTTAGCACAAAGCTCACCGTGTATGTCTCTGTCCCATCTCTGGAACCAAGTGTTTCTTCCAGGAGAACTGGTTCTTTACTGGGGAATAGTATTTAGAAACTGAGATCTGAGTATTGAATATCATGCCATTCTTATTTCTTATTCTTCATATATGACCTTTTTCTATCTCTCTGGAATCTTTCAGGAACTTTTCCTTGTCCCCACCCAGTGTTCTGAAATTTCATGATAACGCACCTTGAGATTGTTTGTTTTTCCACTTATTATGGCTTTTCAATCTAAAAACTCATAGTTTTCAGTTCTAGAAATTGTGTTCAGTTATTTCTTGATGATTTTCTATCTTCCATGTTGCCTATTCTTTCTTTCTATTCTTGCTGATTCTTTGGGTGTTGGATTTTCCAGATAGATCTTTTTCCTCTTCTGGCCACCTCTTCAAATATAAGACATTATGATATACTGATTGTATATAACGAGGCTCAAAGAAATAATAGCTTTATGGTTAGTGAGAGTCTAAATCATATAATATAAAGACTTGGGGATAGCCTGCGTCTCACTGAAGCGATGGTGGTATGTAAGAAATAGGGTGGAATGAAAAAAGCAGTGGATTGAAAGGCAGAAAAATATATTCTAGCCTCAGCTCTGACACGTACTAGTTTAAGGATTCTGGTAGATTGTCTGCAGGTGGTTCCCAACAATTCGCTCCGCCATGTAAACATATGTCACTCCCTTTATGAGGAGGCGGAATCTATTTCCCCTTCCTTAGAATCTGGGTTATAGGACTCGCTTTGACCCATAGAATGCAGCAGAAGTGACATTGTTCCAGTTCTGGGCCTGGCAGCTTCCACTTTCACTCTTGAAAACCAGCAACTGCCCTGCTGGAGAGAGGCCCTTTTGGATCTTTTAGCCTCATTTGGGCCTCCCTAGCTAATGCTAAATAGACCAGAAACGAGCTGACCCAACGAACTCTGCCCTTTGCAGAATCATGAACAGATAAATGGTGGTGGTTGTTTCAAGCCTCTAAGATTTGGAGGTGGCTTATTTCCTAGTAATAGGTAACTGAAACAGAAATTAATACCTGGATGTGGAGTGTTGCTGTATCAATGGCCTAACATGCTATTGACTTTACTGCCAGGCAGTAACCAGAAAAAAGACTGTTTGTGGGTGGAGCTTGGAAGAGCAGTGAGGAGTTTGTTATGGGAGGTTGGAGAAAAGGCAACCTAGGTTATATATTGGCAGAATGTTTAATTACTGTTGCCTGTGGTAACATGAACGAACTTGTGGATCTAGCCAAGGAGATTTCCAGGCAGACTGCTTTAAATGCCAAGGCCTCCTTTAGCTGCTTATGATAAAGTACAAGAAAAAACATGCACTGAAAGAAAGATGCTTGATTTTCAAGCAGAATTCTAGCCAGTGAAGGATTCGTAAAGTAACAAATGGCCTCAGGATAAAGATCAAGTCACGTGTGGTTACAAAAAGTTTTTAATTTTTAAGATTCCAGAAAGCTTTAATGTGGTACTTTGAAGACCATCCCAGGGCTTCTAAGAATCTTAAGTGCATTGTTCCAGTCTGACAAGCACAACGTAGAGAGAGAGGTCTGTTTTTAGAAAGAGTAATGAATGTGAATTTTGGAGAATGGAGTTAAACCTCATTAAGATTTACAGAAAATCCACAACGTTTTTGAGAAAATTGTATTGGATATGAATTTTGAAGCACAGAGTGGACCTAGATAAGATTTATAGCAAATCCACAGAGTTTTTAAAGATAATTGTATTAATGAAAGAACTGCCAGCTTGGACACACAAATAGTTCAAATGAAAAGAAGATTCTGTACCTTTGAGTTTCTACTGGCATGAAGCCAATTGAGAGAGCCACTCAGCTACAAATATGGGCCCTTCTTAAGGAAAAAGAAAGGCATCTCAGAGAGTGGGGTCAAGAGGGCAGAGGGCAAAGCCCAAAACTGATTAGACAATGGATTAAAGCAAGGATCAGCAAACTACAGCCCATAAAGCCAATCCAGCCTTTTGGTTGTTTTTGTATACTCCAGAAGCGAAGAGCCCTGGCAGCTTCAGCTTTTGCTTCTTGAAAGCCAGCTGCCATTACTATCCCAGTATAGAGAGAGAAGGACCTGGAAGATGAGAAACCAAGGGACAGAGAGACCCAGCCTGCTCTCAGTCATTCTTGCAACCCCAGCTGAGGCACCAGACAAATGAGTGAAGCCACATTGGATCCTCCAGCCCCAGTTGAGCTGCCCCACCCAACACCATGTGAAACAGAGCCAAGCTATCCCCACTGAGTCCTGTCCAAATTGCAAAATCATGAGCAAATAAATAGTTATTTCTATTTTAACCGCTAAGTTTTGGTAGTAATTTGTTACATTGCAATAAGTAACTTGAGTGCATTATTTAATCTCTGAACTGGGCAGGGGACTTTATTGGGCTCCAGTTTCTTCATCTATATAAATCAAAGATTGGACGAGTTAGTCTCTTAAGGCCTCTGTCTGCTCTAACGTTCTATTACTGGGTGAAGAATTCTGTTCTATTATTCTATAATTTTTAGTGCATGCCTATCATTGCTAGCTAGGCAGTATTAGTGGGGCAGCAGATAAAATGTGAACACAATAAAGCTGAGGCTTTAGAGGACAGTCTGCACAGCAGCAGACATAACCTGAGATCTGTTGTAGTAAACATTCTCCCCAGCTAGGGGGGAGAAAGAAAGAATGGAAAAAGAGAATCTTTGCAGTAAGAGATTCAAAACTTCTCTTTTACTAGTAGAATTGGCCCCACATTCCTCAGAAAAAGCAAACCATGACTTATAATAGCTCCATTTTTATGAGAGCATCAGTGTAAGGTTCTGGAGCATGGAGCAAACTCTGGCTATTGCACAGATCTGTATGTTTGGATTTGCTGGATGCCCAAGATAAGCAAAAACATTCTTTTGGAAACTTAGTAGCTTTTATGTATTCCACATGCTTCGAATTAAATCTTGTCTTCTGCAGAGGGCCTACCACAGCACAACTAGGAGTAAGAGGCTGTGCAACCTGCCCTGAGAAGAGAAGGGAGGCGGAATCCTGTCCACCTTTATTGACTGCCTGTGTTCCCCTTCTGTTCCAAAATGATCAGGGCAATAGGCAGATGAGCACGATTGCTGGCTGTAAGGCTTTCAGCCTAAATTGGAGAGCCATAAATGTAAATCAGAAATTGCATCAAAAGAGTTGTCTTATTCTCTAATTGTCCTTCTGATGGGGCCTACCGTGTATCATTCCCGGTGAAGGAACAGGATGACAGTGAGCTCTGGGGTGAGTGTGCCCAGGCTCCATTTGTGGCCCCGACTTTGCAGCTAACTGGTTAGGTGACCGTGAGCATGGCAACGAATGTCTTTCGGCCTTGCTATCATTTTCTGATTCCCAAGAGTGAAATGACGCTCAACTGGAATTCAAAATGGACATTAAAGATGGGAGATTAAAACACACAAGCAACAAGACTAGGAGAAAGAGCTGGATGAAGCGGGTGTGAAAGGAAGGAATTCAAAGACGCAGCGAGAGGTCTTGGGATTCTTAGCAAAACATTCCTGCTAGTTTGAGGTGCAATTCAGCATTCGCGCAGTCACACACAAAAACATGTTTGCTATTACATGTTGCCACTGTGGCTCGTGGAAGGAGAGCAGGGAAGAAAAGCGAGAAACTGAGCAAAACTAAGCAACGGAGCTGGCTAGGAGGCTGCGAAAAAACGGCAGTTAGGAAAGAAGGAAGGGAGGAAACTTCTTTGTTGGAACTCGAGGTTCAAAGCCACCGGCCCCACCCAGCCCGCGACGGCCTGTCACGAGGACGCGCAGAGCTCCCAACTCGCAAGGAGAGCGGCTGAGCAGAGCGCGCTCGGGAAAAGGGCGCCTCCCGGGGCGGGCGCGGGGTGGATCTGGGCTCCTAGCCTCGGCCTCCCACCCCCTCCCCGACCCTGGCTCCGGGCCCCCCTGCGCGCTCGGAGGCCGAGGCAGGCCAGTCTTTGCAGGGCAGGAGCCGGCCCATCGCCCTCCCCGCGCTCCTCCCGGGAACTGCCGGTCAGAGGTTAAGCTAATATGTTTGCAGACGGTAACGAGGAACTGGATGCCAACGGCCCCAGCTCAGGGGAATCACGATTTATGTTTCTTGGAACCATTCTCCCTTCCCTTGCATCGATGCCTTTAAAAAAGTGACTTAACCAAGCTCAGAGTCTGCTAAAGTCTTGCTAATTTGTTAACCTAAGCCAGAGCTGGGAACTCGACGTGGCGCTCAAGAAGGAAATGGAGGGAGGGAGGGAGGACGAAACGAGGCCGGTAATGGGTCTCGAGGAGGCCTCGGCGACGCTTTCAGGGAGGGCAGGGCCGTGGGCGAGGGGCCGCTCCCGCGTGGCGCGGCTCGGGGAACGTTCCAGGGCGAGGCCACCCCTGCGGGCGAGCGGGCCGGGGAGGGTGAGTCACCCCGACTCGGGGTGGGAGCGGGCAGGGGAAGGGGGAGGCGGGGCGGGGCGAGGCGGGGCGGGCCTCGCCTGCACAGCGAGGATGTGGCGGCTATAAAAGCCCCACCCAGGCCAACGGGCTCCGCTCTGGATCTGGGACGCTCGCAGCCCTCGGCGTCCGGCCCAGGTAAGCGGGCACGTCCCCCGCCCGCTATGGCCCCGGGCCGCCGGCTAGCGGGGCGCGGAGAGGAGCGCAGGGGACGGCCTTGCAAAGAGCAGCTCGGGCAAGCGGAGCCGGGGGGCCGGCCGGGGGAGGGGGCAGGAGGGAGGGTCGGCACCAGGTTTCTACAGGGAGGGGGCGCAGTGGCAAGGTGGTCTGGGGAGGAGTGAAGGGAGCCGGGTGCGCCCCGGCTTGGGGGGTGCAGGGCAGAGGGAGGGGGTCGGGCATCCCCCCCAAGTGCTTGCAGGAAGCCCGGCGAGACGGCGCAGGGGCGGGGAGCTGAGGGAGGCCCCGCATTCCAGACGCGCCGGGCTGGCAGGGTGTGGCCGCCTGGGGAGCCGCGGGTTCCAGGAGGCGCAGTCTTCGTGGGCATTTCCCTCCAAGTTTAACCAAAGCGTTACGGCCATCTAGAAAGGAGTCCCCGTCTGTTCCAAGTTACTTTACTTGAAACAAACGCGCATTTGTGGAACTTGTACAGACCAGCAGGAGGGAAACAGTAGGGGAGTAGGAGGGGTGGGCGTTTTTAGTAGCAACCCCTCTCCCCAGTAAAACAAAACAAAACGGAAAAAACCTCGGCTCATTGTCCAGTGTCAAGATTATCTTGTAGGAGAGCGACTTCTGATTTCTGTTTATCTGGAGAGTTTCCCACTTGGTTGACCACTTTTGCATCAGGAAAGTAGTGTCCCTCGTGGTTCTGTGGGGACGGTTGTCACTGTTGCTCGAGATGATGCGACAGAGACTCAGGGACCGAGGGTACAGAAAAGGGCGTGGCCCCCTGAGTTGCTCCTTGCGGCTTTGTGAGGTGGGTTCCAGCGCCTGGTGGGGAGGGCTGCATTCCATCAGCTGCCTGTTGAGAGGGTAGGAGGCGGCTATCAATTTCCTTATCTATGAAGACGGTTTAAGGATGCCCATTCTTACCTACGCCCTCATAGGGGGGTTATCGAAAATCTCAAAAAACATGTTCATTCAAAAATAAATATGCTAAGCACATTGAAAACATTAAGTGCCGCTCGAATGCAGAGTGTCATTATTTTTGTGTTAAGATTTGCCGTTTTAAAGCTACGGGTGCTCTGAATCTCTGTGTCAAAGAGCAGTGGCCTCTTGGGTGCACCTTGAGTCTTTAGCAAGAATCACAAGGTCCTGGAGGCCGGGGTTCTGGGCCCCTGAGCTCACTGACTCTACTGATGGATTCTGTCCAAAAGTGTCTGCTACTGTGACTGCCTGCAACTTGGTGGTTTGTAATGGAGAATGCACTCTCCCACTGAAACAATGTTATAGAAGAGGCCTAGGTTCCCAGGCTAGCCCAGAAACCCCTACTTAACATGCACTATATCAAAGTACATGCCTAATTTGGGGGTAGGGGTTATGGGGAGAAGGAAAAGTGGGACGGTGAGGGAGGGTATGTGAGTAGGAAGAGTAAATCACTGAAATATTTTTCTGGAACTTTTCTTAGTTTTAGGACTGGCCATGATTAAATTATTCTAATTGGAAAATGAGATCGTTGCTCCCCTCTCCACTTTCTCTGCCTTCCCTGCCTCCTTAGAGACCCTCTCCCCTGACATATTGCAGACGCTGTCCAGGCTTGCCAGTTCTGCATTCCCTCCACCTCCCCATTTCAGTGTACTTAACCCAGCTAGAGACTAGCAAATTCAATCAGTATTCATTCATATTCAACATTAGGAGTGGCTGGTGGTCCTAAAATTGTCAGTAACCCAGAGGAGTTTTTTAAAAAACAAGAAAACTTTGTTAACCTGAACAGTTCTGTAATTTATCGAATTCAAGGCTGTGGAATCAAGGAGCCACATAATATAATATTCAGGCCATGTGAAGGAAGATTTTTGATGAGGCCAGGTTCAGAGGCCAACTCGAAGAGATGTCTTTGTGGTCAGTGGTCTGAAGACATCCCCCCTTAGCACTTTCCTCCCTTTTTCTAAGTCCAGCTATTATCTCAAAGCTTCAGGAGTTTTCTCTGAAAGTATCCATTGCATCTGCAGCGGGAGGGTGTGACCGTCAATGTGTACTTCTTTAGTTGGGCGTTTATGATTTGGAGACGGCTGGATTTTGTCATTCCCCATAGTGCCAAGTGGCCTGCCCGTGGTAATTGTCCAGGAAATATTGCTGACTCACTAGCTTTGGTCAAGAGCTTGGTCTTGGATTGGCGGCTCCATATTTAACATCCTGTGTCTTTGAGCTTTTAAAGTACCGTATTGATTGACGTTATGCCGGCAGTGGTGGCCATTAGTTTCCTGACTTATTTCTGGTTTAAGTAGTTTTCCTGGTGAGGTAGATATCCTTCTATAATTGCTATTGATTTTGAGGGCTCTCGGCTCTTGCTGCACTGCCTGGCCTAGAATCTGGCACTAACACACTGTCATGGGCCTTTGTTCTCGTTGCTTGTGCTGGGCTGTGGGCTGCTGAGCCATTTTCCATTAAGTGGGGGCGGGTGTGTCACAAAAGGAACCCCAGGCTCTCCTGCACTGCCTTTAACATCCACTCATGCCACAGTATTTATTAAGCACCTACTTTGTTCTGTTCACAGGGATAGGCACTGGGGATACAGCAGTGAACAACAGACCCCCCCCCCCAAAAAAGAAAAAAATACCCCTGCTCTTTAGACTTTAAATCTAGTGGGGAGAAAAAGAAAATAGACAAAATGAGTGAACTGTGTGGACAGTAATTGAATTTTGAACTTTACG